GTGATGTATGTGTGTGTGTGTGTGTGTGTGTGTGTGTGTGTGTGTGTGTGTGTTTCTGCACCTCTGTGTTCTCAGCCAGATTGTTGAGGGGCTAGCGAGACTCATTTCAAATTAGCAGATGGCTCGTCTAAGAGCACACATTTCATGAACACACACGCTTATCTAGAAGATTTACACGTGACATCTTCATCTTGTGTTACTTAATCTCATTTGTGACGCTTCACATGACGCCGTTGTGAAGTACATACACCTCATGTGTGGGTCTCATCTGCTCATTGTCTTCAAAGATTTAATATAAGAAGTAATTTCAGAAATAAATATGTAAATTATAACTTGCAGTGAATAATACTGCAGTGTAATTATCTCCTGTGGAGGGAGTGTGTGCACTCACCCGCTTTAATAGATGGTGTGTTTCCCTTATAAAGAAGTAAAAACATCTTTAAAAGTCTGGGATTGGTAAGATTTTTAAAATGTTTTCGAAATAAGTATCTTATTGCTTATCAAGGCTACATTTATTTGATCGAAAATACAGTGAGAACAGTAATATTGTGAAATATTCATATTTAAAATAAGTTTTCTATGTGAATATATTGTAAAATTTAATTTATTGCTGTGATCAAAGCTGAATTTTCAGCATCATTACTCCAGTCTTCAGTGTCATATTAGATGATGCTTAACAGTAAGGAGTAGTTCACCCAAAAATGAAGAAGCTGAAAATGTGCTCACCCTCAGGCCATCCAAGATGAAGATGAGTTTGTTGCTTCATCAGGTTTGGAGAAATGTAGCAATGCATCAGTGTCTCAGCAATGGATGCTCTGCAAGTGAATGGGTGCCGTCAGAATGAGAGTCCAAACAGCTGATAAAAACATCACAATAATCCACACCACTCCAGTCCATCAGTTAACATCTGGAGAAGACAAATGTTATGTGATTGAAAAAAATCCATCATTAAGAGGTTTTTTAACTTCAAGCCATTGCTTCTGGTTAAAATATGAGTCCACAATCCATAATAACGCTTAAAAACTCATCTTGTCTGAATCAGGAGAGAAATCTGCGCCGATCAAGCACCGCTTACAAGCCAAAACAGCTCTGAACAAATATGTGGCTGGATTTTGATGTGAGAGACTACAGGAGATTAACTTTTTCACTGGAGGAAGCGTTATTATGGATTATGAACTCGTATTTTAGCCAAAAGCGATGGTTCAAAGTTAAAAATGTCTTAATGATAGATTTGTTTCTTACAAACACTCAAGATGTTAACTGATGGACTGGAGTGCTGTGGATTACTTGTGGATTATTGTGATGTTTTTATCAGCTGTTTGGACTCTCATTCTGACGGCACCCATTCACTGCAGAGCATCCATTGATGAGACACTGATGCAATGCTACATTTCTCCAAATCTGACGAAGACACAAACAAATCTTTCACATTTTCATTTCTGGGTGAACTAGATGTACCTCAGAACTCAACTAAGTCTCTCGAGTGCTGAAAGAGCTGGCTGTTTTCCTCTGGAGGATGTAGTTGATTATATCATCTCATAATGTGAGCTGGATTGTTTCTCCTGACGTCTGTCGTCTCTCTCTGCAGTTATTTGCAGTCTGACACCAGTAAGATGTTCCAGCGCTGCATCATAGACATGCTGGAGGATCCAGAGATCGTCTCCACGATGCTCATGCCAGGTAAGAGCGTGCGTCATTTATTAGTTTGGTTGTTTAAAGCCGAATGCGTCTGTCTCAGCCTGTAGGCAGAAGGAATTAAACACGAACCCTGGAGCCGAAAGCACTGGCTGGTGATCTTTAATGAGAAGTTATGATGCTTCATCTCTCTAATATCTACCTGTTTGTTTCTCACAGCGTCCTGGTGGATCATGACAAACAACTAACAGCAGCAAGAAAACACCCTTCACCGCCCACCGCTGAACCCCGATCTGAAACATCACCCCAGTGTGTCTTTGAATTAATAACTAGACCTAAAAAAAAATCAGATGAATCATCTGTACGCGTGACACACACACACACACCGTTTTTGTGTTGCATTTTATAGAGTAACATCTGATGTCCGATAGTTCACTGAAAACAAAACACGTTACACAGGGTTGTGCATCATTCAGAACTGAATTCAGATGCTTTTACATTCCAGTTCAATTTTCTTTTAAATTTGAATTAAATTTGCAAACAGGCAGCAGAAATGTTTACATTCAGAGAACATTTAAAGAAATTCATATAGATGCGGTAGAAGTATTTTAAATAATTTATTTCATTATTTTATTATATTTAATTCTTGAGTTGTTTAAATTTTGAACTCAGAGAAACTTTAAAGAAATCCATATAAATGTTGTAAAAGTATTCTAAATAATTGATTTCATTATTTTATTATAGTTAATTATTGAGTTATTTAAATTGAATTAAAATGAAATCTATTTATTTTATTTTATCATTTATTTTCATTCTTCTTAGGCTACATTTCCTTTTCTGGGCTATAGTGGATGAACACTTAATTTCACTGAATATATAATATCTGAAGATTCATTTTTTTGATGCTAATGTTTATTTTTTATTATTTTTAAAATATTTAAGAATTATTTTTAATTTGTCTGATGGACAATTTTGTGATACATTTTTTAATTGTTTAGAAAATTTTAACTCAGTTTAGCAAAATATGTGACCCTGGAGCACAAAAGCAGTCTTAAGTCGCTGGGGTATATTTGTAGCAATAGCCAACAATACATTGTATGGGTCAGAATGATTGATTTTTCTTTTATGCCAAAAATCATTAGGACATTAAGTAAAGATCATGTTCCATAAAGATATTTTGTACATTTCCTACCGTCAATATATCAAAACTTAATTTTTGATTAGTAATATGCATTGCTAAGAACTTAATTTGAACAGATTTAAAGATGATTTTCTCAATATTTAGATTTTTTTGCACCCTCAGATTCCAGATTTTCCAAATATTGTCCTATCCTAACAAACCACACATCAATGGAAAGATTATTTATTCAGCTTTCAGATGATGTATAAATCTCAATTTCAAAAAATTGACCCTTATGACTGGTTTTGTGCTCCAGGGTCACATATGTCTTATCAGTTAAGGAAAAAAATGTAAATAGACATAATTAGCCAAAAGTAATGCTGTAAATATTGATGTTTTAGAGCTTATGTTGTTTCGAGCTTTAATGAAATTCCTCTGTATTAAATTTCTTAGGAGTTGCAATTCAGTAGATTCTCAATTCAGCATTCGATTAAATTCAGATTCACACTCATGAAGGGAAAGGATCTGAATCTTCAGCTCTAAATCGTGCTCAACTCAACGCTAACAGGCATGCGTGTAATATTCCTCGCATGTACAGAAAATCAAAGCGTATTTGCTCCATTCCGTTACGAAGCTTTTGAAGCCAGTAGCTTTGATGCAGATACAGCGAATCTCAGAGCAAAACAACGAATGGAAAACAAGAATTCATGTGTTCTTGTAAATAATTAAGATAACACTAGCAAAATGATCTGCTACTTGAGTCTGACACCTTTAAAGTCACTTTTGCTTCTCTGGATACTGGAACATGAAGCTGCATGCCGATAGGAGATGTTTAGAGTGTTGGTTGATTTGCAAGGAACATGTCGATCACAGATTATTTCTCAAGAGAAGTTTGAAATATTCGAGTCGAGTGTGAACAGAATAGACATTTAATGAAGATGTACAGCTGTGTCATTTCTCTGTAAACCTTCCTGAAGGTGTTTAGAGGACTAGCTCACCTAAACTAATCATTCTGGCATCATTTACTCACACTCGTGTTGTTTCAAACCTGTACACAATACATGTTTAGCTACTCTGATTTTTTTATTTTTTATTTTTTATATATTTTGAAAATACAAATACAAAAAATATATTTGCTAAAATATGTTTCAATATATATTTAAGTAAATATATTTTCTGACCATATATTCTTTGGTAATTAATTCCATATTTTTGAAAATATATTTAAAAAATATAAATATATATATATTTTTTTTTTAAAAGCCCTCCATTCATTATAATCCAAGAAAATAAATTTGCATAATATGACACATTTTAAGAAAAATATATATTTGTTGTCTATATATTTATGTATTTTTTTTCTGTATGGAACAACATTTGGGTGAGTAAATGCTGATTATTCCTTTAGTTCACTGCATAGACACTATAAGATCCTGGTTTTATTGAACATGGAAACCTGCTAGTTGTTGTGCTATTTATGCATCTTAACTGAAAAACAGAAACTTGACTTTTTGCTTTAGTTTTTTTCCGTTTTTGTGGTTTAGTCCACTGAATGAAAATAAAAGTCGAACAATTATTTTGTGTTTAGTTTTGTTCTTCAGCCATTTTTGGTTTTACACTTCCTAATACCTGCACGACTTCCTATACTTTGTATGATTGTGTTTGTGAATCTATGAATATAAAGCAGCATGCTAGAAGTCAGAAGTATTATAGCTACATCTTTCCAAGTAATTAGTAAAGATCCTTTCGCTCTCTCATAATGACACGGTTCAGTGTTTTTTCCTCCTTACGTCTCAGTACATGGCGTTTCTGCAATGATGCAGAAACATTCAGCGTTCAGACGACAGACAGTAATTGGGACTTTTAAGTTCTTGTCAACAAGAGTAATTGGACAGTGATTAAAAAATGTGCAAAAATCCCACATGCACTCGAATAAATTCTAACATCTGCTTCCTTATTTATGATAGGAATATATTAGTAACACTTTATAAGAACTAAACATGAATGGCATTAACAAACAGTGTCATATTAGATGATGCTTAACAATAAGGAGTAGTTTACACAAAAATGAAGATTTGCTGAAAATGTGCTCACCCTCATGTCATCCAAGCTGTAGGTGAGTTTGTTTCTTCATCAGATTTGGAGAAATGTAGCATTGCATCAGTGTCTCACCAATGGATGCTCTGCAGTGAATGGGTGCCGTCAGAATGAGAGTCCAAACAGCTGATAAAAACATCACAAGTAATCCACAGCACTCCAGTCCATCAGTTAACATCTGGAGAAGACAAAAGCTTGTAAGTAACAAATCCATCATTATGGTGTTTTCATCTAAAATATGAGTCCATAATCCATAACATTCCTTTCTTGGATGGCCTGAGCGCAAGTTAATTTTTGACAAAATTTCATTTTGGGGTGAACTATGCCTTTAATATATATTAAAATAGTCGTAGATGTTGTTAAACATCCAGTCATATATTTATATGAAATGTAATATATAATGTTTGTTAATGATATTGATAAAACCAATGAGATTGTATGTAGGCCTATATATGAAAATGACAAACTACCATACTACTTTTAATACTTTAGAATGTAGAGGGTGCATGATATGCAAAATTTGTATATGCAAAGATGATGCACTATGTTCATCAAAAAACAATGCGAAAAGTCCTCATACTAATAATTAGTAATCAGTTAGTATTCATGGTAAGCATGTGCTGTTCTCTCTGTCTCCCTCTTCTGCTGGTGTTTGGGACTCGTTATAACTAAAACTAAAAAACTTAAAATTTAGCTAATAAAAGTAACTGAAAGGAAACAGTTCTCATTTTCATTTAGTTCAACTTGAAGTAGCCTACTAAAGTAATTAAAACTAAAAATAAATGAAAAATTAATCAAAATGATATGTGCTGTAGACATAAAATAGCAAACAAATTACAATTTTAAAATTAAAATGAACAAAAAAAAAAATATATATATATATATATATTAAGAAAATATTGATTAAAGGGGTCATATGATGCTTTTTTAAAGATCATTATTTTGTGTATTTGGTGTAACAGAATATGTTGACATGCTTTAATGTTCAAAAAA